TCACCAAACACAGCAGCTTAAAACAACACAAATTTACTATCTTACAGTTCTGAAGGACAGAAGTCCAACTCCAGTCTTACCAGGCAACAATCAAATATGCGCTCCTTCCTGGAGGCTCTGGGGGTGAATACACTTCCAGATTCTTTGGGATTGTTGGCCAAATTCAGTTCCACATTTAATAAGATCTATTGTTAGAAGTTTGGTTTTGTATAGAGGAAACGTTTTAGAGCGCTGTACTACTTTAGACCATATAGGCTTAGATAACCGTGTCATTGGCAATATTTTTATACTCCAACAAATAGTGCTTATCTTTTTTGTTTCCTTTTTCATTCCCAAACATTTTGTGAGAGTTATGCCTCCTGAGGCATTGCACTCTGGGTCTTAAGAGAACATGACTAACGTGAAAGTGCTTGAGAGCACCTCTTCCTCAAAAAGTTCCCTGCTTGACCATTGTGTCCTTGTGAGAAGCCTAAAACTTGTGCATCAAATGTTCTATTGACATCTATGAAGAATTCCACAAATTGAAAAGTATTCTACACCAGTGGTGAGTTTTCAGGCTGTTGCAAAAAATATTCTTCAATCCTGCTTTCTTGAAACATTTTAACAACCTCTTTTCATCTCCACAACACACACACACACACACACACACACACAGACAAGCCACAACATACACACACACTAAATCATCATTTTCAGACCATTTATTCAGCTGTTGATTGCTGTTCTTTCTTAACTTCTCTAAATTGTTTTAAGCTCTTGTGTCATTTACTAACCTTCATGCTAAAGCATTTTGCAATGCATTCCTGTCAGACAAAAGAGTGGCTCATTTGATTGTTCTGTCAATTGCTGCTATTTGTCATTTGTTACTTTGGAAAATAAGCAGGAGCGATTTTCTATTTGGTCATGTCTGAAAGCCTAACCTCACTCTTCCACTTACAAAAGGAGAGAAGTAGTAGGATAAGGTTTTCTATATTAAATTCAAAACTTTGATATATCAACCTGCTGTTATAACAAGGAAAACAAGTTCTGATTTTCTGCTTAAAAAATGGGATAATTTAGGTATTTAATTCATGTCCTTGACTCTAAATTGACCTTTTCTAAGATTCCACTACCAAATATATATGTATAATATATATAATATATATTACACAAATTTGATCAAGTATTTATCACATATAGAATCAAAAGGAATTTATAAAAGGCTTCCATGTTGTCATAAATATCTCTAATGAGGTTAAAAGAAAAAGATAGCTAACGAAATAAGAAAACTTTTTGAATGAGTGATATTTTACCATGATCGATGTTCAAGTAGAGAACCATATTTGATGTTGCTCTTTTTCCCTTCCTAATGAAAGATATTTTATCTAGATCTTTTTTTTTTTTATCTCAAATGGAGATTAACAGAGACTTCAAAATATCCAGCAAGAGACTAGTCCGCAGATTGTCTGCATTTGTTTCTTACATGTCTTCAATTTCTGGGAATTGACTGCAAATTACATCTACTTACTTGTTCCACATTTATTTATTAGTTTTCATATCCAGGTGTTGTTCTAGTTTCCAGAGTGACTAATCAAGTAAGCCTCTCACACTCCAATTTCTTAAAGTTTATTCCTGGGGAAAGCAGAAAAATAACTCAATAATATATAGGTGTTATGATAAAGGTATGTACAGAGTGTTCTCAAAATGTAGGAACAATGTTACATCCAAACATTGGTCCGAAGAGCTAAACTAAGAAGACCATATATGAACCAAGTTTTAAAAGACTATCAAATGTGAGTGAATTTGAGGGGAAAGGAGAAAATCGGGGCATTCCACAAAAAGGAAAGAAACATACTTCTTATTTAGAAAATGAATCATTTCACCCATCTCTAAACTGATCAACCCTACAAATCTGGCTTCAACACAGAAAGCTCTTTCTTATGAGCTAAACAGAGATGTTCTTTCAATCTTTGCTGAAGCAAATATTTAGGTTTTAACTGGTTTCTTGTCTTCCTACTACAAAAAGAGTAAGAGACAAAAGTCCATAAAATATCAGCAAGGCCAGTTAAGTAGCAAGTAGTTGACAGTTTTCAATAAGAAAGCATCATCAAGATGTCTTATATTTTAATAGCTCTGTACGTTTTAAATGACAGTAAAAGCTTTATATTCTCTAAGCAACAGTATATGGGGAAATATTTTTCTTCACTTTACAGCAAAGTGTATTTAAGACTTTAATAAATATGAAAACAATCTTTATCACCAAATCATAGCAAATTTAAACAGAAGAATAAGTATAATTAAAAACTACTGACCATGCTGAAGACAAAATACAAGTATTTAACATACATTTTTCTAAGATTATTAATAAAAGTTAAATATAGTGAGGANAATTTAGAGAAAAACACTGGTTAAATAATAATAGGACAAAATAAATTAGCACACAATAAAAGATTCAAAGACTGCAATACATAGAGCTTGCCTCAGAAAGAACAAATAAAATCACAGCTGTAATTACCTGAAAGGTGACTACCAAAACCAAAGTCTTGTATAGTACTCAAACAATTTCAGCTGATCTGCAGCAAAACTGTTAGTTCAAGTATGCAGACTACAAAGGCTAATACTTCTGAGATGAAGATTTAGGACTGATCTAATTGGACCAAATCCTAGAACAGACCAAGTACTGAAAAGAACAGACCAAGTTCTGAAAAGAACAGACCAAGTACTATTTCTCACATTTTTCTATGTGAACTCAGAGCTATCCCTAACTGTTACAGGATGTCACTGTTGCTGCCATGCAAAAGCCTTTCCATTTCTGCCCCCAGCCATCTCTCAGTCTCTCCTGACTCCTCCAACACCTTCACACACACACACACACTCACAAACACATAGGCACATACATGCATACTCAACCCACTCACATTCATACTCACACATACTCACTGACACAAACTCACTCACACACTGATACGTGCATGCCGCCCCCCCTCATCTGCTCCCTGCTTGTCCTGCAGGTCCCGGTTCTGATATCTTCCACTCTGCTGGTCCTTGTCACAGTCAATGTAAAATTGAAACGTTGTTTTCAATATATGCTATTGCTGCTCCTGTAAAATTTTTCTGCAAATTCTGGCATTCTCCCCCTAGAAGAAAGAAGTTTTTTGAGGTTTTTTTTTTTTTGGGGGGGGGGGGCGGTTGTTGTTGTTATTTTAAGAAAGCCTTGAACTTTTAGCAAATGGACATTTATTATACTTGTATTAGTGGCCTTCTGGTTGGAAGGGATTATTTTCTGGACTCCTGAGGAAATGAGTCCCACGCATCTGACTCCACCTGTGCAAGGAAGCCAGGCTTTGGTGATAATCTACCTGATCCTTGACTTGCACTACTATGGAGATGTCTCTGAAATATGCAAACTGTACCTTTTGCAAAGAAAATGCCTTACATGATTAGAACTTTGGAACATTGGAATTATTGTTTTTCTTAGAATAGAACACTGTGGGAGATTGCATGTTCTTTTTTCTTTATTTTTTAAAAGTATATTACGGTCTTGATAAAACTAAAAATAAATGGCAAATTAGTCTTGACATTGCATTAATTAAACCTGCTTTTGATGCTAAGGTGTAGTGACTAAGCTCAGGAAGAAAATGTTACCCAGGTTAGATGATGTTAATCATTGAGAAGAGCAGTTGGTATTCAAATCCCTCGAGTCCAAAAGACCTATCACAGATAACTTTTTATGTAGAGCTTGAAATGCCCAGGCAAAGGTTGGAATATCATCCACAGAGTGCAATGAGAGATTTGATCGAAATCTATATTAAACTGCTCTAGAACAAATTAATGCTACATGGAAAAATTCAGAAACTTCTCTGGGCAGGTGTCAATGGAAAGGTCTTATCCAATTTCTGTGTGGTGATACTTGAGATGGCCCCAACCTCATACCCTTTTTCAATTCTCTGCATAGTGAAATAGGTAGAAGACCTGGGTTCAAATTCAGTCATGGTGCTGACTAATGATATGATGTGGGACACGGGTATGACTATAACCCTTAGCCACCTCACCCACACAGAGCTTATATTGGAGTCACGTTAATTTATGTTTATGAAAGGCTGTGAAAGGTGTAGAGTTACAAGATTCTGTACAGATGTAAGACACTGTAATGTTTCAAGGAAAGAAAATATCTTGTGGACATAAATAAGTTAGGAATTAATCATAGTAAAAAATAGTAATGATTTGGGCCGGCCCAGTGGCGCACTGGATAGTGCGCTGCTTGGGAGGCGCGGCAGCGCTGCCGCCCGAGGGTTCGGATCCCACATACAGACCGGCTCCCGCTCACTGGCTGAGCGAGGCGTGGGAGCAACACTGAGGTTTGCAATCCCGTTGCCGGTCCCTGGTCCGGTACGGGTGCAACACTGAGGGTTGCGATCCGTTGCCGGACACGGAAAAAACAGACAAAAGACAAAAAAAAAAAAAAAAAAAAAAAAAAAAATAGTAATGATTTAATCACTGTCTTTGGTAATTGTAATTTTCCAAAGAGAGAAGATACTTTTAAAATTCTATCCTAATTTTTTTTTAAAGTAAGGATAGCCCAATTTTTGAAGTTTACAAAAGAAAAGGAATCA